ATCTAAAATCTGAAGATGTGATGCTGAGAACTTTTTGTTGTTGTTTGTTGTCCGTTTTGGGTCACATCCAGCTATGCTCAGGGGTTACTTCTGGCTCTGCACCCAAGAATTACTCCTGGTGGTGCTTGGGGGATCGATCATATAGGATGCTGGGGCTTGAACCCGGGTTGGCTATGTGCAAGGCAAATGCCCTACCCGCTGTACCATTGCTCTGGTCCCAAAAACTCACATCTTATTCTCACCATCTATATTGGTCTTCTGATGTAATGCACTTCTAGAAACTAGATTTTAAGCATGATAAACTTTTTTTTGGCAGTTACCAAAACAGTCTATGTCTAATTCATCTATTTATAAGGTTTGCTCAAGATCAAATGGCAGCAGGCTGATGAAATAGCAACATCACCCTGTCACCTCTGGCACTGAACACAGGCCTTATGGTCCATCCCAAGCCTGGTAGTCCCCAGGATGTATCTACTGCTTACCAAGGGCACCATTCCCACTGGTCTTTGTTACCTTTCCCATCTAAGACAACTTAAAAATCCACTTAGTCTAAGGCACAGCCGTACTCCAGGATTGCCAGGGGCTGGGAGGGCCCACCTGGGAGCACACCCTAATATACTTCTATTTCTACACTTTACTCTATCCCTGCTCTTGTCTATGCCAGGTGAAGCCTGCAACCTATCACTATTGACATATCATTTCCTTGCAATGAGTCTAAAATGAGTTTGAATGCTATTAGAAATTTAGAAATCAAAGTATAACAAGAAGGGAAAAAATCAAGGGGGCAGCAGAAACAGACAGAAAGCAACAGTTGGCAGGGATCAAGGGTTTTTTTTACACATTGGTGGTGTAAAAAATTGGTATAGCTAATGATCCAAGCCAGATTCAGCAACATTTAAAATAAGAGATCCAAACTTCAACAAGCAAACTTTAAAATGTGCCTGTCTCTGGGGCCCTATGTCGTGGGGAAGAGGACCTGGTGGAGGGAAGGTAGCACGGGTGGTAGGATTGGTGCTGGAAAATAGTTTGTATAAAACTCAACTATGAATAACTTTGTAAATCACGGTGCTTTAATAAAATTTAAATTAAAAAAATTTAGAAATTATCAAATTTCTAAATGCTACTTGCTAATATATTTTCAAACAACGAGCATAATCAATTTCCTTTTTGCAATGTTTAAGGTTCTGTAATTTTTTTCTTTATGGTTTCTATTGAATCACTGTGAGATATACCCTTACAAAGTTGTTCATGATTAGGCAGTTATAGTGTTCCAATACCCATCTCTCCATTGGTGTACATTTCCCAGCACCAGTGTCTCCAATTTCCCTCCCATCACTCCCACTCCACCCCCAGCCTGCCTCTACGGCAGGCACCTTACTCCCTCTGGGCATTGTGGTTTGCAATACAGATACTAAAAGGTTATCATGTATATCCTTTACCTACTTTAAATACTCAGTTCTTATCCATTGAGATTATTTCGAACTATTATTGTCAGACTGGTCTCTTCTCTCTTACCTACCCTCCACCCCACACACACTTGTGGTGGATTCCAAACATTGAAGGTTATGTAATCTTTATACCCAAGCAGTAGGAACTGAATCTTGTGAAGGGGAAAAAAAATGTGTAACTGGAAAGACATGTAGTTGAAGTTTCAATAGTCCACGCAGCTTTTCAGCACGGTATCCTCAATGTGAAGTTATCTCAACTAGTCCTCTGTACTATCAAATCAAGACTTCAACCAATCATCCCGCAGTCTAATGCTCATCACAGTTAAAACTAAAACCAATGATGGGATGGTGACTTCCTCCAAGGAAAACTGTGAGGCTGCTACCTGAAGTATGACGAGCAAGCACAAGGAAAGTCAGACAGGTCTAGAGCTGTGCACTGTGTGTCCTTACACTCCCATGCTCAGAAACACGTGCTAACTCACAGTACTATGATCTAAGGCGAGTAGGTGCAGTCTTTCTCGGTCCTTTCCAACCCTTACCTGTGCACCCAGGAGTGGGAAATTGGGGGAAGGGGGCACTAGGGGGAAGGAAAAGAGAAAGAGCATGACTGATCACAATCATAACAAAGGTGTACTCCCGTCCCTGGCTCAGGCCCACAACCAAGCCTTCATGGGTCAGATCTTTTAGGCTCAGGATAGGTATGCCCCAGGCAACAGTCAGCCCCAACCCTGTGCAGGACAGCACAATGAGGAAGACCAAAAATCTTTGGGAAATGCCAAGAAATGTAATGGCTTCTCAGTGAGGACATAAAGGCCCAGGTTTCTGACAGTTAGACAGGGAAAGACCCCAATGGCAATGGAATTCCTTGGATGTAATAAAACCTATAGCCCAGCCCAACGCTGCAAAGAGCCAACTTTGTGAGCTCAGGCCTTATAGTCACCTGGTGCCAGTAGCAGATGGAGATAAGGCTGGACCCCCCTCTGAGAGAAGTTCCAGCAGGAACTAAAGACCATCACCACTCCCAACTCTACCTCCTTAGCAATCACTCTAGAAACGGACTCTTATCTAACTAGAAGCCCTATAAGATACCTTGAACAAAGCGCACCTCTGTGCGCTTATGCTGCCAGAGCCCCTATGCTGCTTCTACCCAACATGTGGCCAACCGAGCCCATGTAGTGCCTGCATCTTCCCTGTGATGTGAACTTTCATGCTTCCATATCTAATGCTGTTATGTGAAGGGCTATCTCTACCTTTGGAGAAGCCACGTTCTTTTGAGCACGACTCTCTCTCTCCCTCAATCCCCTTTCTAAAACCTCCGAATAAAATTCGTTTTCACTTCACTGCTTATCTACTCCCGAAATCCTTTTCTGAGAGGTGAGACAAGAACCCCAAAGCCCTGGGTAAAGTCTAGGACTGACTTTCCTTTCCCGCAATGAGCAATTCCTCGCTCCAACCTTAGTCTGTGGTTCCCTGATACTGAGTGGCGGGGATCAGCTCCCGTCCTGAAAAGACCAAGCAGACATCAGGTGGCTTCACAGCCACCTCATGGGGCTGACAGGACTCTGGCCCATGCTGCACAGGGGCTGATCGCAGACTTTATCAGTCCTAATCTTCCTTGGGATGGAAGAGGCGGATCAGGAGAAAGGGACAGTTGCCCCGCCTGACATAAGCCACCTGTGGGGGCCACCAACGTCACCTGTTTGCCCCCTTTCCTCCCTCCCTCCTATAGCAATTGAGGTGCGTCTGCATGGCTTCCCACACAGGGTCCTATTTAATCTCCGATGGGCCCTTTACATACAGGATCCCTGACAGGCCCTTCCCTCACGGGGTCCCGTTCCCTCCCCCTGACTGGGACCTTCCCGCAAGGGGTCCCGTTCCCTCCCCCTGACTGGGACCTTCCCGCAAGGGGTCCCGTTCCCTCCCCCTGACTGGGACCTGCCCTCACGGGGTCCCGTTCCCTCCCCCTGACTGGGATCTTCCCGCAAGGGGTCCCGTTCCCTCCCCCTGACTGGGACCCTCCCGCAAGGGGTCCCGTTCCCTCCCCCTGACTGGGACCGTTCCCTCCCCTTGACTGGGACCTTCCCGCACGGGGTCCCGTTCCCTCCCCCTGACTGGGACCTTCCCTCACGGGGTCCCGTTCCCTCCCCCTGACTGGGACCTTCCCGCACGGGGTCCCGTTCCCTCCCCCTGACTGGGACCTTCCCGCAAGGGGTCCCGTTCCCTCCCCCTGACTGGGACCTGCCCTCACGGGGTCCCGTTCCCTCCCCCTGACTGGGATCTTCCCGCAAGGGGTCCCGTTCCCTCCCCCTGACTGGGACCCTCCCGCAAGGGGTCCCGTTCCCTCCCCCTGACTGGGACCGTTCCCTCCCCTTGACTGGGACCTTCCCGCACAGGGTCCCGTTCCCTCCCCCTGACTGGGACCTTCCCTCACGGGGTCCGTTCCCTCCCCCTGACTGGGACCTTCCCGCACGGGTCCCGTTCCCTCCCCCTGACTGGGACCTTCCCGCACGGGGTCCCGTTCCCTCCCCCTGACTGGGACCCTCCCGCAAGGGGTCCCGTTCCCGCACGGGGTCCCGTTCCCTCCCCCTGACTGGGACCTTCCCGCACGGGGTCCCGTTCCCTCCCCCTGACTGGGACCTTCCCGCACGGGGTCCGTTCCCTCCCCCTGACTGGGACCTTCCCGCAAGGGGTCCCGTTCCCTCCCCCTGACTGGGACCCTCCCGCAAGGGGTCCCGTTCCCTCCCCCTGACTGGGACCTGCCCTCACGGGGTCCCGTTCCCTCCCCCTGACTGGGACCTTCCCGCAAGGGGTCCCGTTCCCTCCCCCTGACTGGGATCTTCCCGCAAGGGGTCCCGTTCCCTCCCCCTGACTGGGACCTTCCCGCAAGGGGTCCCGTTCCCTCCCCCTGACTGGGACCTTCCCGCACGGGGTCCCGTTCCCTCCCCCTGACTGGGATCTTCCCGCAAGGGGTCCCGTTCCCTCCCCCTGACTGGGACCTTCCCGCACGGGGTCCCGTTCCCTCCCCCTGACTGGGACCTTCCCTCACGGGGTCCCGTTCCCTCCCCCTGACTGGGACCTTCCCTCACGGGGTCCCGTTCCCTCCCCCTGACTGGGACCTTCCCACACGGGGTCCCGCTCCCTCCCCCTGACTGGGACCTTCCCGCACGGGGTCCGTTCCCTCCCCCTGACTGGGACCTTCCCGCACGGGGTCCCGTTCCCTCCCCCTGACTGGGACCTTCCCACACGGGGTCCCGCTCCCTCCCCCGACGGGGCCTTCCCGCACGCGCCCCTTGCACCCCTCCCCGGCCTCCTGCCGCCCACGGCCGCGTCTCCGCGCCGGGGTCTAGTCTGCGCGGAGACTAGCGTGCGCGTCGAGTCGGACGACCCGAGCGTGTCGGAGCCGCGGCAGACGGAGACTCATCGCAGCCGCGGGCGGCCCGAGCGCCGGCCCCGGGCAGGCGCCCACTCGCGAGCGCCCCGCGTTCCGTTAGAGCCGCCCGGGCGCGCGGGCGTGCGGAGGGGCCGCGTCCGCCGGGATGCCTCCGCACTCACGGACTCCTTCTCGAACATGCTCAGCCTCCGCTCCTTCTTAGGCGTCGGAGGGAGCTGCGCAGACTGCAGAGCCTGGGCCGCCTTCGCGAGCCGGCTGCGCTTCTCCATGGCGCCCGCTCTCCGGCCGCCCGGCCTCCGCCGACCCGGGCCTGTCCGCCCCGCGAGAATTCGAATCTCGCGCCTGCGCAGCGCCCCGCTCCGGCCCGTCCCGCGAGAGGACCAGCCTCGCGCCTGCGCCGTACGAGCTCCAGGGCGCCCGAGGGACGGGCGCGGAGTCGCGGACGTCATCTCCCGGCGCCGACGGCCCGGAGCCGGAAGTCGCGGAGGTAGAGCGGGGGGCGGGGGCCGCGCGCGAGACGCGGCCGCCGGGGCCGGTGGTCCCGTGCCCCTGTGACCGCCCACTTCCGGCCGAGCGTGCGGGCGGACGCAGCCTCTCTTCCGGTGGCGGCAGCGCGGCCCTGTGCGGGCGCGTGCGCGCGGCCCCGGTGCTCCCGGGAAGCACCAAGGAGCCGAGTCGCCTCTGTGCCGCGAGTCGGACTCTGACGTGCTCCCCCGAATCATGGTGTGTCCCCCTCGCTTCCACAGCTGCTAACAGCGGCCGCGCGTCCCCAAGTGCCTCCTGCCACGGCCTCAGCCCTGAAATGTTGAGGATTCCGCCGTCTGGCCCGGGAGGCCGAGGGGCGTCTCTCCTTCAGGGCCAACCCGGGCGGGGCCGCGGCCACCGGGCCGGCCTGCAGCGCCCTGAGGAAGGGGCGGCCCGGACGCTCACCCTCGGTGCTAGTCCGGAGGGAGGCCGGGCCTGGTCGCGCCCAAGCGGGGGACCACGCGTTTGTCTGAGGACAAAGAGTCGCAGCGTCTAACGTTGTGCCGATTTGCGGTTAGATTTTTATTTCTAGACAACGGAGGCTTGTGTAAAGCGTGTATTTTAACCCCAACTCCTACTTTAAGAATTGTGCATCTGTTGGTAGCGGGTGAGATAGACTTGTTCCTCAGAACTGAAGAACGAGTTCAGTTAACGACTCACTCGCTTTGTGTCAGGGTTATGCTCCATGCTGGTGGTACAGCTGTATAAACCTGTACAACTGGTTCTGTGTTTTAGGGTCTGCCTTTTGGTTGAGGCTGAAGATCCCACGGGGTTGATAGGGACCTACAATGAGAAGAACTGTGTCTTAGGACGTCATTCAGAGCCAGCGTTAGTAGTGCAGTGGGCGTTTGTGCAAACAGCTCTGTCCTGCATCCATTCACTCAAGAACTACAGCGCATGCCTTTAAGGCTCGAGCTTTTATAAAAATGCTAGGGGACCCCTTCAAAGTGAGAGTAACTTTTCCTGTCCATTGTATTTTTGTTTCAGTCAGGAGAAAAGCCAGTTCTCTTAGTTTCCCTCTGAGAAATCACTGCCTATAGGGCTGAGGGAACTAAGGAAAGTGGTTCAAACGTGGCAACTTACACTCTAGGGCAGGACACTCACAGAACAGACCTGGTCTCAAGGAAGAGGCAGTTCCTCTGTGCCAGCTCTTTATGCTCGATTTCCTGCTTTTCCCTTCTCCAGCAGGCAGAGCTTCCAGTTTTGTAAAGGGGCTAGGGAGTAGGGGAGACTTGCTGGGAGGAGCTGAGCCTACTCTTGCAGTGTCTGAGATCCAGAGACCTTGTGTCTTCAATAGGTGACTAATACAACTTACTTTCAATCTGAATATTTATTGAAAGTACTAAGGTTTCTTAATACAGAAACACAGTGTTCTCATCATAAAGCTCTCCTGATATCCAAAAAGTGTTTTAACACTTGTTATACCTGAGTAAACTCTACTTAGGCAGATAGAATTTTCCAGGCTTAAATATATAAATAACGACCCTGTTCTGCTTTTAAACAGTATCTTCTGGTTTTTGTTTCAGATGTTAGAAGATGATATCACCACATGCCTCTCTCCCTCAGTGTATGATATGATCTGCAAAGCTGGACTGGAAGTGAGAGAGCAATGTGCCATCAGCAGCATCATCACGGAAGGTGGTGGTGTGTGCTGGGACACCATCACAGACTGTGTGGTTTCTACAGAACCAGGTTTGAGCTTACTCTGCATCCTAAATGTCTCTCAGCACTGATCTGTGGGACAAATCTTGACCCTTACTGTTCCCTGTGACTACTGATGATGCTTTTGGTTAAGGCTCATCCTGGAGAGCAGAGAAGCCTGAGGAGTGGGTAAGAGTGTAGGAGAGCTGGAAAAAGAACCACGCTGGGGAGGAGAGGCTGGAGAGTAGTGCTGAGTAAATCTTAGGTGAAAAGTGTAGAAAAACAGAAGATATGAGAAGGGTAGATGTGAGAAGGGTTTACAATGCCAAGAATCTATTACAGTTATTTGAAAGGACTTTCTGGCATTCTGGTACATTCTTTGGATTGGAACAATTGTTTTGGAATCACGATCACAATCATCCTGTTGTTCGTCGATTGCCTCGAGCAGGCACCAGTAACGTCTCCTTCGTCCTGGCCCTGAATTTTAAAAAGTGCCATATTCAAGGCTCTTTCAGGGTTAGGAGAATAAGACCAATCATTGTTACTGGTATTTGGCATATTGGGTATGCCACGGGGAGTTTGCCAGACTCTGCCGTGTGGCAGGTTGCATTCGGTAGCCTGCCAGGTAGTCCAAAGTTGGAAACTTAAAGAATAGTTATAAATAAGCATATGCTCTGACTCAGCAGTACTTGTGCATCGATTTTGACCTATCAGCAGGTGTACATGTAGGAGAATAGGAGAGTGCGAAAGTGAGGTTATCTAGGAGAGTGAATATGCGAGGTTGTCCAGGGGTAGGCTGGCAGGCAGAGAGTGAGCACGTGAGGTTACCCAGGCACAGATGAGCAGGTCAGAGAGTGAGCATGTGAGGTTATCCAGACACAGATGAGCAGGTCAGAGAGTAAACGTGAGATTACCCAGGCACAGATGAGCAGAGTGTGCATCTGCAGATTCTTCTCTGGAGTGTTATTGATAGCAGGAAGGAAGAACATGAAGACAGTGACCGGCCTGCAGTTGAGATTTTGACACCCGCTGTGGGAAGTGCTTTTGATGGGATGTTTGTGGTGGGTAAGGAGTGAGGCATCCTGTATTTTTGTGCAGAGATGTCTGAAATGCTAAGGGGCTGAGTTGAAGCACGTGTTTCCTACCTGTTTTCAAATACTAAGAATATACCTAAGGAGGTGACAGTAGTAGATCAGAGGAAGGGAATGTTAATGGGCCAGGAGTGATAGGAGTGATATTTTTACTTTATTACTATTTTTTTTATGATGAACATGTGAATGTTCAGCCCTAAATTTTGCAAAAAATTTAAAAATGGATTTTACACATGTGCTCTAAATAATACTGGAAATCTCACAGTCTTGCATTCAGTGAAAAAATGTGATTTTGTGTGAATGTGTATGCACTGCACTGTAGCACTGTTCCTCCCATTGTTCATCGATTTGCTTGAGTGGGCACCAGTAACATCTCCATTGTGAGACTTGTTGTTAATGTTTTTGGCATATTGAATACGCCATGGGGAGCTTGCCAGGATCTGCCATGCGGGCGCGATGCTCTGGGTAGCTTGCCGGGCTCTCTGATATAGGCAAAAAAAAATCAAAGACCATATTTTTTTCTTTTATTTGATTTTTCTGTGTTTTCTAAACTCTACGCAGTGTATTTGTCTTTCTTAAAGAAATAAGGTGTGTATGAATTACTTCAACAGTGATATGAAAATATTTATTGAGTTAAGTCACAAGCAGACTGCAGTCTTGTGAGTTCTTTCAGCACTTTTTCTTTCTTTCTTTTTTTCCCCTGCTTTTTTGGTTATCCAGTGGGGGTGCTCAGGGGTTACTCCTGGCTCTACACTCAGGAATTACTCCTCGCAGTGCTCAGGGGACCATATCAGATGCTGGGGATTGAACCCTGGTCAGCCGCATGCAAAGCAAATACCCTACTCACTGTACTATCACTCCAGTTCATTTTCAGCACTTTTCCTTAAAGGCTAGATAGGGTTCTGTGATGGCACAGAGTGGCGATTCTAAGATGTGTTTTCTTTATCTTTAAGACCAGAGTCTCGATTATCGGGCCAGCGTGAGGCTGTTGGGGCCTGTATGTGAGGCTGTTCATTCACACTTGTCATCGCTGACCAAGACACAGTTTGAAGTTCAATTTGCACCCTGGTTCCAGTGGACACATTTGCCAGAGGTTTGGCCTTTAACAAACTTACCCATGAAGATTATGCAGTGTCTACCTAGAGATTCCTGTTACTTGCTCTTTGTTGGGTCCCCTCTGCTGTCTTGGCTGCTCGCGCGAGGTGTGCATGAGGTGTGCTGCGCAGGGTGGGGCCATTAGGTTGAGACCCAGACCTGAGCTGAGAATGTGTCCTGGGAGGAGGAAGTTGGGGTGCCCTTGCCGGTGAGGAGCTGGGTGGTGCTTCAGTGCAGTCATGGTCCTGAGAAAAGGCAGGTGTGAGGTTTCATGAGCCAGCAGGCCAGGAGATGGGAGAGGGCAGCTGGTTGCCGGGTGGTGGGAGTGCAGGGCGGTGTGAGGCAGCCTGAGCCCTCCCAAAGAACCCATTCTTGTTTTCACTCTTTGGGAGGGTTTAGAACAGTGATATGAGCACTGCAGGACCCTGCTGTGAACGTCTTATCCTCCACTCTGCTGAGCCTCCAGGTGACCAGGAGACTACACCTCTGACTCTGGAGTCACTTTTCTCGGTGCTGGGGAAGCTGCATTGTGCATTTAAGAACCAGAATGCATCAATGTGGGAAGCTAAGGGCTGGGGAGAAAGCTCAGGGCTGAGGGGCTTGCCTTGTGTGCAGCTGAGCCCTGTTGGATCTCCAGGACCATCAGGAGTGAACCCTGAGTATAGCCAGGTGTGGCCCCTTCAAGAATAGCCTCCAAAGTAAGATAGGAAGTAAGATTTAGACTGAAATTTTTTTTTCATTTGATGTCATATCTAATGTATTGCTTTCAGCAAACAAAATCTTGCAAAGAAATTCTTAGATTTTAAAACACTTCCCCTGATTCTTTAAAAAGGCTACCAAAAGTATCCTGCCCACATATATGCCTGGGAACACCTGCAAAGGTGATTAGAGGCTGCCCCGAAAGCCTCCATCCCTCTTGGAGAGCCCTGCAAGCTACTGAGAGTATCCCGCCTGCGTGGCAGAGCCTGGCAAGCTACTGGTAGTGTACTCAGTATGCCAAAAACAGTGATGGTCCTCATTCCCCTGACCCTGAAAGAGCCCCCAATATACCATTGGGGTACACTCGCATGTGACAGGGACAATGGAAACATTACAGGCGCCCACTCGAGCAACTCGATAAACAACGGGATGACAATGACAGTGATAGCATTGTGTATATTTATAGAGAAAATGTTTACTTAGTTAAAAGAAATCCATTAAAGCATCCCAGTTGGGATTGGAGAGATAGTGCAGTGATTAGTGTCCCCCAGTACTGCAGGCACTGGGGGGAGCAGCCCTGTGTCCTCAGCCCTCACATTGGATCCCTGGCAGGTTGTCCGAGAATTCTGGGAGGGTGCCCCAGACCCCACAAATATGCCAGTTGAAATCTTTGTAGAGGTTTGCTTTCAAATAATACTAAATAATAATAGTATTGTTTTTTAGAGAAGTGTGTGTTATGGAGCACAAGTGTAAACATGCATCTTACTCTAAACAGTTATTTGCCGAAGTATTCGATGCCTTGGGCAGTCTGCACCCAGCTGCTGTTTGCCTCAGCCTGCTGAAGCTGACCTCACTCCTGGAGCGTGCCCTGGGGGATGTAAGTGCAGGGCTGAAGTTGCCTGAGCCCTGGGTGTGCCCTTGGTGGTGTAAGTGCAGGGCTGAAGCTGCCTGGGCCCTGGGGTGTGCCCTGGGGGTGTAAGTGCAGGGCTTGCTCATCCTAGCTCAGGGAAGGTTCCAGATGAATGGATACTTCTATACTCACTCTCAGATTTCTTGGCTTCCATTACTGTTTTTCTTTAATATAGAGGAATTTGGCATGGTTTTTAATGTTATCCTTTTGAGTGGTTATGAAATCAAAACACTAGTATCTTCAGAACTTGTCTCTTTATTTTAACAAACTATTGCTTTGTGAGTGATTTTTATCCTTAACCGTTATTTGGGCTGGGGGTATAGTGCAGTGGGAAAGGCACTTGCCTTGCACAAACCTGACCCAAGTTTGGTCCCCAGAACCAAGCTGGAACCAAGCTGGTCCCATGAGATCTGCCAGGAGTGATCTCTGACTGCAGAGTCCCAAGCACCAACTGGTGTGGCCCCAGCCCCCCCCCCCCCAAAAAAAAATCACCAAAGTAAAACTCACTTTGATTTGTAATATAATTGTTATGCATATTTATCTGATTTCAGGTATATTTACTAACTGGGAAGGAATGCCCCTTTCTTTTACGAGACCTGCTGGCATCCCAGGAGCTTACTCAAGTGTTTGGACATTCTGTGGTAAGCTTGGTTAACTAAACTGTTAGTTTACTAAAACTAACAGTTCAGGCACCACACAAAGGAATTTCTGTTAGCTCTGCTTTTGTTCCTCAGAAATTGTTTTTGCATTAGTGTCAGTGATCTGAGAATATTCCCCTTTCCCACCACTTCCAGAATTGTCTTTCTTCTGCCAAACACACCCCTCATCTGTCTGAGTCTTAGTGTAGTAACCTCTGCTGTGGTGATGTGTAGTGTAAGAGATTATATGTGATGACCTTTCTATTACCTTCTAAATAAAGGGCTTTTGTGTGGTGGCCTCTTATGGAGAGCTCTTGAGAGGTGACCCCTGGCACGATGACTTCTAATGGCTTCGTTTATCTGTGTGGTCTCTGCTGTGATGATCTGTAATGTAAGAGCTTATGTTATATGACCTCTGCTGTGGTGGCTTCTGCTGAGGTGACCTTCACTGTAGTGACCTCTGCTGTGGTGGCCTCTAACAAGAGTTTCTGCAGTGGGAACCCCGGGTGTGATGGCCTCTAATCTAGTAACAGTGAGAGCTCTCATGATGATCTCTCATGTGGTAGCTGTGGCAACCTGGGCATGGGGAATTAAGTGAATACTTTGTATCCTGTTGCTATCATTAATTTTGTTAATAAGTTTGATCAGTATTAGAATTCAAATTCTAGAATATGGAAAGTATGTGTGTATGTCTTGTTAGGGATTGAACCCCAGGACACATATATGCTCTCTATTGCTGACTCACGCCAATCGTCTCTAAAATAGAAATTTTTTTAATTGGGAATCATGCCCTTTGTAGTAGTTAGAGTTAGAGTGAAAAAAGTTTAGATGGCAGATTGGCAGCTAAGCAGTGCATCGCTAGAGACTTCAGATCTTTCAGGTGGGTATATCAGAGTGTTTTAGATGTTAGGCCCCTGAGTAAGGCACATTAGAGGTGCAGGGACAAGTGGCCACTGGGTGGTGGTGAGGTAGCCATATTTACTCTCTTGATCGAGGTGATATGGTGCCCATATCTGGTCTGTGGAGAGAGGAGAACTCTTGTTGCAGTCTCCGTTCTCTGGAGACAGGACTTTGGTAGTCATGGCAGCTCTGTGGAGAAAAGAGACTATGGTGGTCACATGTGATCTGATGGAGGACGACTGTGGTGGCCCCGTGTCCTCTTTGCAGAGAGGAGGACTCTGGTGGCTATATCTTCAGGGCAGAAGATGAGTACAGTGGTAGCGCTGTTTCGCTCTTCATAGAGAAAGTCCGATGCCGATATCTCGTCTGTGGAGAGAAGATACTCTGTGGTAGCCACATTTTATCTGTAGAGAGGAGGACTCTGGTGGCCTCATCTATTCTGTGGAGAGAGAACTCTGTGGTGGTTGTGTCTTTTGTGTGGAGAGAGGAGTCTGTTGTGGCCAAGTATTTGCTGTGAAGAGAGAAAGACTGGAGTGGCCGTTTCAGCTCTGTGAAGAGAGGACTCTTGTGACCACATCTGGTATATCATGACAGAAGGACTCTGGTGGCTGTGACTGTTCTGGAGAGAGGAGAACTCTGTGGTGTTGATGTCTGTTCTATGGAGAAAGGACTCTCCGGTGACTGTGTCTCCCTGGAGAGAGGACTTCTTGGTGCCCTCATTTGTTCTGGAGAAAGGACAACTTTAGTTGCTGTGTCTTTTCTGGAGGATGGTTCTGTGGTGACTGAATCTGTTCTGGAGAGAGGACACTGTGGTGGCCTTGTCTGCTCTCTGCTAGAGGAAGTCTCTATGGTGGCCATGTCAGATCAATGGAGAGAGATATCTCTGGTGGCCTTTTCAGCTCTGTAGAAAGAGGAGGACGGACGCTGGTAACCATTTCTGCTCTGTGGAGAGAGGACTCTGGTGACCGTGTCTTCACTGTGAAGAGAGGAAGACTCTGTGCTTACCATTTATAGTCTGTGGACCAGATTGCTCGGGGGCTGCATCTACTCTGGAGGAAGGAGGACTCTATGGTAGCCCCATCTTCTTTGGAGAGAGGAGGACTCTGTGGTAGTCTCTTCTGCTCTGGGGAGCGGAGGACTCTGTGATGGCCACTTTTGCACTGTGAAGAAAGAAAAACTGATAGCTACATCTGCTCTGGAGAGAGGAGCACTCTGTGGTGGCCATGTCTGCTTTGTGGAGAGCCACGTTGCCCACTTTCTGACTATCTTCATGGGCACATGGTGATTGCTGTGGTTCTGGCCTTTTGTCTCACTGGACCTTAGGCACCTTGTACATGCGGAGTCCAGTCAGCCCCACTGGATCATGGTTGACCCCTCTGTCGTGAAGTTCCCTCAGACAGTTCTGAGGGTTACTGAGTGCTGCTGGGGAGTGATAGCCTGTTATCCTAGGTCCACCATTGTTATTACTTTAATCATCCAGCTGTTGGATTGCTGGTTCTGAGAAAGAAAGCACCTTCCCTCTGGGTCCCACAGATGGCGGCTCCATCTCCTGTCCTTTCCCTGCTTAGATGGACACACTCCGAGTCTTCGTGGGCTCCCCGCGTGGACTCAACCTGCGGAATGTCCTTTGGCATGGCTTTGCTGCACCTCAAGAGATCCCTCCCAAGTGAGTAGTTTGTGAAGCTGTCGCTATCTCCTCTTTGTCTTCCTCTCTCTCTTTCTTTCCCTCTCCCCCTTCCTTCTCTTACCCTTTATCTCCCTGTGTCTCTCTCCCACCCTCCGTCTCCCTCTTTCCCTTTCTCTCTCCCTCTCCCCCTCTCCATCTCTGTCCCCTTGTCTCTCTCTCCCTCTTTCCCTCTTCCTCCCTCCCCCTCTTTCCTGAGGGGTCACTTTCTGTTGACTTCCACTGCAGGGAAGATGTCTTTGAGACACAAGAGAGCATTTCTGGCTGAAAAGAATATGATGCAGATGTGATTTCCTGACCTAGAGCAGGTGCAGGTGTCTGCCCCGCTGCGGCTGCCCTCCACACTCTGCTTGTGTTTGCGTTATTAATCTAGAGTCTCTCTTCCAGTGAAGCCATTTCACCTCACAGGAAGAAGTCTGATGGCTGTCTGGTTGTCCCTAGATACTGCTCCATGTTGGTGGTGCTGACAGCAGGGCTGGGCCAGCTCTTGCAGAGATACCTAGAGCAGACTGGTCTCTCCCTGGTCCACCGTCCTTCCGTGGCCCTCACCAGTCTGGAGGATCTCCTCGTCTTCCCTGGCAAGTGCCCTGTCTCTACTTTGCTCTGAATGTCGTCTGTCGGTTTGTCCAGACGGCCCCTGCCATTGTCCTGGCATTTTCATCACGGCTTCCACGTGCCTTTTCTCAAGCGTGCCAAGCTTCTGGGGTTCTCAGATGGTCATGGCTCAGGCATCCTCATGAGAAGAGAATCGTCTGCCACACAAAAGGGCACAGCCACACTTGTGACCTCTCTACCTCCCTCCTCTGTCCCCCACCTCTGTGCCGAGGGCTGATACCCAGTGTTCCCCTGTATCTTTTTATCACCTTGCCCCAGTGTCAGGGGCAGGGACAGAGCTGCCGGCTGGAACCCTGGGCCGCTTCTCTCCAGTGCATGGGTCCTCTTGTCTACCAGCTGGAGCCTTACGTGTTGTGGACTCTCGGCATTGTCTGTGATTGATCGTAGATGTTCTCTTAAGACTTTTTGAGGGGAACAGGTCTAGACTAATAGCAGACTTGAAGGAGAGGGAGTTATATTTACTGGCCCATTCTCAGTATCTCAGCAGAGCTGTGCTTTCCTTTAGACTTCTTTTTGAACTTAGCGAACCTGCACCCATTGGTCAAATTCCCACAGCAAGCTGCAGTTTGCCCTGGGCTACACTGCTGGGTGCTCTGTCATGACCCTGCTTTGGGATGTGCCCAGGTCCTGAGCCTGAGCTCAGCCCTCAGGAACGTTGCCTTGAGTCCTCTGCAGAGATGCCTGGTCTGTCCCTTGTGGTTCTGGCTTCAGCCTGGAGGGCGGCAGGTGCTCTCCAGGCTCAGCATACCCACATCTTCTCTCATCTGGTCAGCAGTGTTGAGAGCTCACTCAGCTGCGTTTGCCATTTTGCAGATGTCACACATGAGGAACTCTTGGTATTAGAGGAAGTGATGAAGAAATCCACTTTCATTCCACGAATCATGCTGCCATACTGGGAAACTGCACTGCTCAGCTTCCATGCCCACAGGTAGCTGGAGGGTGCCGTGGGTGTTTGTGGGGTGGGACAGCCCGCACTCAACACTGCTTAGGGGATCTTGTGGTACTGGGAGTGACCCTGGTGCCAGCTGCATGCAGAGCCGGTACAGTACAGCCAGCCCACACGGTTTCCCTAGCTAAGGAAGATTTGCTCCTTGGCCACTAACAGCAGAGGCTAGTGGAAGTGGCGCTGATTGAGGAGTGACCTGGCACACAGGGAAGCATCATGTGCCCAGTCCAGACAGCCAGCAACTGTTCTAGGGTTCCCTGTCACCCTGTTTGTATAGTTGAGATTTATTTGTGTATTTGTTAAAGTCAACTGTTTGACATTTTTTGAGTTCTTATTAGGGGAGAGACATTGTATCCAGTGGCAGAAACAGGGCAGCAGAAGGAGTGCCCCTATAGCCACTGAGGGGCAGAGGATCAGAACCGGTACTTCTGGACTTTGGGTTCGGTGATTGAATTTAATTTTCTTCAAGTCACATTGGACTGTTGCCTTTGTGTCTCTATGTTCTGGTGGGTGAACCCGGCAAGCAAACCTGATCTCACTGGCTTTGCAAGGAGAGAAAGGCTTTCCTGCCTGGACTCTGGGGCAGAGCACAGATCTCTCCCAGCATGGCTCCAGGCTCTGTTCCTAGGAGCAGAAAGAGGTGACGAACAAGGTTAGGGTTGTGCAGACTTGTTTTGGTGGTTTTTGATGAAGTCAGCCCCATTCTTGGTAAGTGACCTCCGTTTCCTGGTGAGCAGGACACGAGATGTGGTCCTGAAGCTGTGAGTCTTCGGCTGGTGGAAAACATCCTCCTGTGTTCTTTGCCTGGAATCAAGCGGACTGGTTCATTTGGCAGCTGATTTCTTCCACCTTGGCTCCGCTGTCTGTGTCTAATAAGCAGGAACGAGACAGGGTTTTGTCTTTTCTCTTTTGCAAATGCTCTTGTGAGAGAATTGCGGCTTGTGCACGACAGCTGCAGAGCAGACAGCTCCGTCTCTGTCGAGCACCAATACCTGAGGGAGCCCTGGTCCTCTGGGGCACTTTTTTGTTTGTTTGTTTTTGTTTGTTTTTTTATTTTTATTAGTGAAACACCATGAGGTACAGTTGTAGACTTATAAATTTTTGTGCTTGGGTTTCAGTTATACAATGATCAAGTACTACCCTTCCCTCCACCAGTGCCCATTTTCTACCACCACAGGTCCCAGTATCCCTCCCATCCCCCATCCCCTTAATCCCACCCTGCCTCTGTGGCAGGGCATTCCCTTTTGTTCTCTCTCTCCTTTTGGGTGTTGTGGTTTGCAAAAGAGGCATTGAGTGGCAATCACGTTTGGTCTATAGTCTACTTTCAGCATGCTTCTCCCATCCTGGAAGGATCCTCCCAACACCCTTCTCTATCTGAGCTCCCTTTTCCCTCTGGGGCACTTAGATCTCTCTTCAGAGCCTGTCACAGCCCTGCTAGTGGTTTTCAGAAAAATCATTTTAAATGAAGTGAACTAGGCAGCCATTTGTTCGCATTTTATTCCACTGAAGGTACTGAAAATGGTCACCAAATGTTAAAACCTGAGAGAACAGGTTTCACGTCACTCACCTGGTGTGACTGTGCTCCTGGTCTGGCTTCTCATGGAGTGGGTGCTCTCTCCACACTGGTGCCACATGGGTGGTGCCTATTATGGGGGCCCAGAGTCCGTGATCACTGTGAACGCGGGGCTATGTCTCTTTTCTCTGTCCACAGGTTTGCTGACTGTGCCATCTTGGTGCTGACCCAACTGGAGACTGGACTTCGGAGAGTTTTTGCTGTGGTGAACAGATGTCCGCAGAGACTCCTGACCGCAGAGGTGCGTGCACTGACTGTTGCTGATGCGGATCTCCTGTGCTCAGTGAACCATTTTAAAACCCATATTTACATGATCTTTTTAGCTAAGAACTTTGTTGAAGACTTGACATTTTTTGAGATTTTTGTTCTGTGGTAATGATTGCATAAGATCTTATTTTATTTGTGCTGGTTTTGATAGTTCTCTGGTATTTCCATGAAATCTTTTAAGCTGATTGGTGGATGAGAATAGTACCTGTGGATTTTCTCTGTAGCCATTAATAAATGGTGAGCCTCGTACCCATAAGCCCAGGGTGTCCATGCTTGACAGCCGTGGGCCCTCACATTCATGGGCGGGAGTGTCCGTAGGTGATAGTTTAGGGCCTTACATCTGTGGCTGGAGTGTCCGAGGTGACAGCCGTGGGCCCTCACATCCATGGGTGGGAGTGTCCATGGGTGATAGTTTAGGGCCTTACATCTGTGGCTGGATTGTCCATGGGTGACAGCCTTGGCCCTCATATCCATGGGCTGGAGTGACCGTGGGCAGCAGTGTTCTTTGTTTGTCAGCCAAAACCAAATACCAGTGCTGCAGGGCTGAGATGTGAGCTTGGTTTCAGAGCTGCGAGGACAGAGGCTTTGTCAGCTGGGCCTCCCCCAGCCCCTGGGCTGACCTCATTCATGCACCATTTCAGCAGTGGGCCCGTCTCAGCAGGGCAGTCGTCGCGTTTAAAGTACTGGAGGAAACAGACCATGAGCCTCTTTTTCTCAGGGCTCATGGGGTTTCTAATACCCTGGCACAGTAACAGACATACACCCCACTCTTGAGTCTGGAGGCCTCAGGCATGAGGGGACAAGCCAGAACTCCAGGGTCCACTCTCAGGTGCATGCCTGGGCCAGACCTTGTCTGTCTGTTGTTGACACCTGTCTTGCTGGGGAATGTCTCAGCAAGGGGTCAGTGGGCTCTTACTGATTTCCATGTTGACTGGGGGGCAACCTCCACCCAAGCCCTGCTCCTCATCCTTCTGTGGGCACTGCTTCCTCAGAGCCCCTAACTTCTCCCACCAGCTGCCCGGGACATGGAGAACTTTCTGGGTGGCAGGTGCCAGGGAACCTCAGCAAGCTTTGGGTGGTGGAGGGATAGGCACTCTGAGCTCTTGGAGCTACAGTATCTAGGCAGCTCTTGTCTCTCATGACCCCAGGTGAGTCTCTAATGACCCCAGAGTAAGACTCTAAGTGACCCCCCCAGGATGGGTCTCTAATGACCCCAGGGTTGTCGCTAATGACCCCCCCCCAAGTGGGTCTCTAATGACCTCAGGGAGGGACTCTAATGAACCCAGGTGGGACTCTCACCCTGGGTGGGACTCTAAGTGCCCCCAGATGGGACTAATGACCCCCAGGGCAAGACTCTAAGTGACCCCAGAGTGGGTTTCTCATGACCCCAGGTGTGTCTCTCATGACCCCAGAATGGGTTGCTCATGACCCCAGGTGTGTGTCTAATGACTCCAGGTGGAACTCTTAGTGATCCCATGGTGGGTCTCAAAGTGACCCCAGGGTGGGTCTCTTAGTGACCCCAGGGTGGATCTCTCATGACCCCCTTCCAAGTCCCCCATGGACGCTAATCACCCCACGTGGAACTCTAATGACCCTAGGTGGGTCTTTAATTACCCCAGGTGGGTCTCTTATGACCCTAGAATGGGTCTCTCATGACCCCAGGTGTGTCTAATGACTCTAGGTGGGTTTCTAAGTGACCCCAGGTGGGTCTCTTAAGTCACAGGTTTACACTTGCTCAATGAATGTCTGTCTTCAAATTCACTTTATTTCAAAAACTATTTTTCCCCTCTCAACATGTTCTCTTGGCCCCTGGTTTTCACTGTCCTCTTCACTGGCCCCTGCAGACCTGGATACCGTCTGTGCTTTGCCAGTACTTCCTTCTCTAGTGGGTCTGTGCTTGATTGGTGGATCTGCATGTGTTTGACTGGCCTTCAGTAGAACTCTGCACCTGGTCGGTCAGCAGACCATTCTTTTTCAGCTGGATTCTCACCTGGATCCTCATTCCTCTCACCTGAGCTCATGTCCCCACGTGTCCCATGGTTCTCTCCCAGGTCCGAACCTGCTCACCGTTGTTTTCTAGGTTTATAAGTCTTCCGTTTGCTTCCAGAGCGTTCGTGGTGGGCCAGTGCCTGCCAGCAAAGTGTGTATTTCATGTGGCATGGTCGGTCTCAGAGTGTTTCCAGGAATGCCTCAGCAGTTTAGCACATGTGTCTCACCACATTCGGTTGTCAACTTTCCTCTCATTCTGGAGGCAGTTCTGTTTTGGCCTGAGTGAGTTTTTGGAGCTGTCTCTGGTGCAGGTTCCAGGAGAGTGTGGTGTTCACCTCTGTGTCTCCTGCTACTGCCTGTGGCATGTTCTCTGTGTGGCGTAGATGTGAGAAAAAGAGAGCCACCGCTCAGCCCAGCTCATATACAAGTGCTTCTGTGGCCTCTTTAATGTTCCTTGTGTGCTTTAAGGTACAAGGGGGCCTGTACAACTCGCTCCAGCAGAAAGCCAGGGTCCCTCCACATAGGGCCGTTCCCTTGGCCACATCCCACACTCAGAGAGTAACGGTTTATTTTCACTGGATATTGTCCATCTCCTGCTTTGTTTCTTTATATGTGAAAAAGTATTGTCTTTTTTTTTTTTTTTTTTTTTTTGCTTTTTTGGGTCACACCTGGAGATGAACAGGGATCACTCCTGGCTCTGCATTTAGGAATTACTCCTGGCCGTGTGCTCAGGGGACCATATGGGATGCTGGGAATCGAACCCGGGTTGACTGCGTGCAAGGCAAACACCCTACCCACTGTGCTATCACTCCAGCCCCTCAGTATTGTCTTTTGCTTAGCATGAAATTCCAGTTCCATCCATGTGGAAAAGGCAAGATCTTACCTTTTCTCCATCTTTCTGAGTAGTACGCCACTATGGCTGCAGGCTGCATGTTTCACGTCTGCTGTTGGTCACTCACAGGGTGTACTGATCTTGGCTGTTTAAACAATAACTGCAGTGAATACAGTTCTCGTCTTTGTGCGTGTCTGTGGATTATCGGCTTGTGTTTGATGCCAGGGAGGGAACCCAGAGCCTCACAGGAAAGGCCACCATGCAGCCTGCCCTGACCAGGTCATCGTCTTTCTTCCTTGGATGGGTCCCTGGTCTGGAAGTGGTGGGCTGTGTTTGTATTCTTCCGAGATATTTCCTTACTGATTTCCAGAGGCGGAACCAATTCAGCACCCCACCAAGTCTGGCTCCTTTCCCCACAGCCCTGCGCCACTTCCGGTCTGTGACCAGGCCTCTCAGCACTGGCTGATCCCGGCTGGGGCTTTGATTTGCATTTCCCTGATAAGTGATGAGCATGTTTCCTTGTGCCTGTGCCATCTGCTTGTCTTTCTCAGAGTGTCTGTTCCTCCTTTCTGCACATTTTTTGGGGGTTGAGCTGATGGTATTTTGTTGCAGTTTTATGAGTTCTTTTCATAACTTGGGTGTTAACCCCTTATTAGATATATGATTTACAGATACTTGGTCCCTTCAGTTGGCTGATTTTTGCTCAAGTGGTATTTTCGGGGTTTTTTTTTTTTTTTTTTGTCTTTTGGGGCCACACCCGGTGATGCTCTTGAGTTACTCCTGGCTCTATACTCAGGAATTACCCTAGTGGTGCTTGGGGGACCATATGGGATGCTGGGAATTGAACCCTGGTCAGCCTGTGCAAGGTATGAGCCCTTCCTACTGTACTATCGCTTTAGGCCTTTGGGTTTCTCTGGTTTTGGTTTTGGTTTTTGGAGTTTGGATTTTGGACCATATCCAGTGGTGCTTGGGGAACTCTATGGGTTGCTGGGGATTGAGCCTGGGTCTGTCACATGCTGTACTATCTCTCTAGCCCCACAGTGTTTTCTTTCTTTCTTTCTTTGCTTCTGAAATCTGTCCCTTGACATGGTCCCACTTGTCTGTTTTTGCTTTTGTTCCTCTGTGTTCGGAGCTGAGTCAGGGAAGTTGACTTTGTGAAGCATTTGGCCTGTGTTCTTCCATGTGGTTTTTTTCTTCTTTTTTTCACTTGTTTCTTATATCCAGTCTTTGATCTGTGCTTAAGGGTTTGTTTGTCAGTGCTGAGAGAGATTTGGTATGTTCTTTGCAGATTTATTTCTGGGCTCTCAGTTCTTTATGTTTGTTTGCTTTTTTGTGTTTTATTTGTTTGGGATCCACTCCCTGTGGTGCTCAGGATTTACTCCTGGCTGAGCACTTGGGGATCATTCCTGGTGGGGCTTGAGGAACCAGCCCTGTGCCAGGCAGTTGCTCTAACTGCTGCACTGTCACTCCAGCCCTGGGCTTTCCGTTTATGTCCCATCCATGTGGTTTTTCTTCCAAGACTGTATTACTTACTGCACACAGCTCACTTAGTTATGGTAGCCTGCACATTTAGCTTGAAGTAGGGGAAAGTGAGGCTTCTAACGACTTTCTTTTTTCTTGGGGTTACTTTGGCTGTTGGGGCCTTTTGTGGTTCTATCCAGGTCCCAGCAGTGTTTATGCTGTGCCCCGAGTTTCCCGGGAGAATGGGTCACTGTGTCTGTAAGGACAGAGGCACTTTCCTGAGAGCAGATTTCACTCAAGACCAGGACAGGCTGGTGCCACATCCTATTAAGGGGAAAATAATAGGGTCCCCCAAGATGTTCAAACAGGCCTTGCCATAAGTGGACAGATCTCCACTGCCAATGTGCCAGCAGGCTTTACTGGGCTATTTCTTTCTTTCAACACTCATTCCCCCGCGGCTGCACTGCTGCCTGGCCCGGCAAGCCCTGAGTCTCATCGCTGCGAGATGGAAGTTCCAGTGGCCCCACTTAGGTTCGATAGCCTGGGAAGCATCACACATAGGGCCTGTGGTTCTAGATGGTTCTGTAACCCTCAGCCTTCCAAGCAGGTTCCATGCAGCCCCCTGACTGGCTGGTTGCTTTGGTGGGTGGTCATTTGGTGGGATGATCCATTTGCATGGCTTTAATTGTTTCTTTTTTTCTTCCCCTGAAGTCAACAGCTCTTTATACCACCTTGGATGAAGTAAGTAAATTTATAATGTTTGTAAAACAAAATCTGTATTCTTTTCATTTGTCTTGGTTTGGGGATTACACTTGGCAGTGCTCAGCAATTACTCCTGGTTCTGCACTCAGGAATCACTCTTGTCAGGGCGTAGGAGATCATTTGTTACTAGCACACATGTTATTTTTCAGATTTGAGGTTTCTATGACGTTATAAACGAGAGTGAGAATACTGAATCTCAAAATTTGCCTGAGTACTGTAACTCTAGAATAAGGTTTTTTTTTTTTTTGCTTACATGACCTTTAACGCTTTCCCTGAAGATATACAATATATCACTGATCTTTACATCTGTATTTTAATTTTTTTTTTACAAGAGTACAGTACTTTGGGGCTAAAGAAAAAGGACAAGGGTTAATGCACTGCATGAGGCTGACTGGGTTTGATCCCCAGCACTGTCGGATTCCCAATAAATTAGGTAGCACTGTAGTACTGTCCTCCCGTTGTTCATCGATTTGCCTGAATGGGCACCAGTAACGTCTCCATTATGAGACTTGTTACTGTTTTTGGCATATCACATACGCCACAGGGAGCTTGCCAGGCTCTGCCCTGCGGGCGGTATACTGTCAGTAGCTTGCCGGACTCTCCGAGAGGGAGAGAGAAATCGAGCCTGGGTTGGCCATGTGCAAAGCAAACACCCTACCCACTGTGCTATCATTAGGTAGAGAGTAAAAAGTGTGCCTGCTTACCTGTAGAGTTTATTACATGGGTAGATAGTTTTTCTTATTTATTTTCAAATCAGTCGTATGATAGTTTTGATGCTGTGAGGATTAAATCCAAGCGGGTAACCAGATAAAAAATTAGGCTTTAGGATTGACAGGTCCTTGGGTTTCAAAGCTTCAGTGAGGTAAGGAGTGACAGAGGAAGGAACTATAATATGCATTTTTACACAAATGTACAAATATGCATACATGAAATGTAAGCACACCTACTCACAATTAAGAACAGAACTGAAATAAATCCTTTTCTCTCTTTTTGAACCACACCTGGCCCTGCTCAGAGGTCACTCCCGAGGTGCTCAGGTGACCGTGTAGGTGCCGAGGCTTAAAGCCAGGACTGCAGTCTGCACAGCCTGTCCTCCAGCCCTGCATATCTATTCTTAAAGTCATCAGACAGTTAAGAGCTTTCAAACAGACTTCCTTATCTCGTCAACTTTGCTCTGGCCAGTACAGGGCCTTTAGAAGTTGCTACTCTAAGTTCCCTCTTAGTATCATCCAATTTCTAGGAAATTTCCACTATAAGTGAAATAGGGCTGACCTGAGGGAACAGATGTGGAGAAGCGCTGAGCTCCTGCACAGGTGTCAGCCTGAAGGGAGACCCTTGTGCCCTTCCAGCAGGAGCAGTTTCTGGCCTCGCGACTTCCTTCCTTCCTCCTTCCCAGCCTGCAGGACCCAGGCCCGGGTCTGGGGTCCCTGAGCAGACAGGTGCAGACAGGGAAGACCTTGGAACCCTGTTTCCCCTCCCCCCTGCCCCCCGGCCTGCATCAGGCCCATGCATGTTCCCTCCTCGCCTTGGCTCCAACGGCTGGCCTTGATGAATCATTGGCATTTGAGATGTGTTTGTGGCCTCGTTGACTCGTAAGTTCTGTGCGTGAATGTACTGATGCAGTTAACTGGCTTTTTTATTTTTGGTCTTTTAGATACTGGCAAAACACCTGACTGACGGGAGAATCAACCAGCTCCCTCTGTTCATTGGGGAACGTGCCATGGTGATTTGTTGGCTTCTTTCCCGTGCGGTGTTCCCTGTGCTCTGGACCCACTCTGCCTTGTGATGTGCTCCCAGCGTCCTGGGCAGCTCCGCTCTGCATCGGCCGGAGCCATTGGCTGTGTCCCGGCTCCCACAGGGCTGCTGGGCTTCTCGCCAGTGATTTAAACGCCTTTTCACAGGCTCAGTGGTCTCACTGCCCTGTTTCCAAACATATCTGGATCTGTGGTTGTGAGCACCGCACTGGTGGAGAGGTTGCTCGGCTGTGCCAACTCCCTCAGCCGGCAGCACTATGTGAGAGGCTGTGTTGGTGGGGAGAGTCGAGGTCGCTGGGAGCATTTTGTCTCTTGTGTACGTGCTGGACGGGTCCGTGCATTCTCAGTGTCTGCTCGGCACATGCTATGGACTTTCACATTTATTCCTTGCACCAGCGCCAGCAGCTTATTGCAGCCCTATCTGTGGCACCACCAGTGACCCCCAGCCCTTCCCCTCTGTGGCGGCTGCCTGCTTGCTGGGGAGCAGCTGACCAGGGCAATGATGCCGGGGAGAGGGCACACCATGTACAGGCGAGGCCCAGGGATACCCCTCCTCCCAGGAAGCAGGGTATCCTGTGCCTGACCGCTTGCCTGTCCTTCTTGTGCCATCTCTCACACCGTGTCTCTTTGGCCCTCCCCTCCCCGACAGTCTCAGATTATGGGGTGCACTGGCTGGACCAGGGGCCCGGGAGGATCCCAGCTGTCCTGGGGCTTGGGGGGCTGCCTGGGGCAGGTGTGGGCCTTGCCCGGAGCACTAACACTCTCTTCTCTGTGGCTCTGCAAGGAATTTCTGTGGGATCTCCTGAACCACCAGGAAGGGCCCCGTGTCAGAGACCGCCTGAGTCACGGGGAATTCGACCTCCAGGACTTCCCGGAAGCAGCCGCTGAGCACCTGCTGGCATTTTCCTTGGTGCTGCTCCTGAGGTTTGTTGACGAGGAGCTGCTGTCGGCCATGAAGGTATGTCTAGGGGAGTTCGTCGGGCACACAGGCACTCAGCCACGGAGGAGCAGAAGTTATTAGGAATGATTTGTAATCGATCTGGGAGAATCGCCTTTGTCAAAATCACATGCAAATGGGTAGAGGACACGCATCTGTACCCCCTGAACCAACTCTCTGGGTATGAATCTGACCCTAGCAGCTCACGGCTTCACACACTTTCCCTTTTTTCCCAGTGACTGAGGAGCATAGTGTAAAAAGGGCTGAGTGAATATCCAGAAAACTTTACAGATGTCTTTGGAGTTGATGGGGAGAAATATTCACGTTTGAGTTTAGACTTTTGTGACTGATACTTTAATCTTTTCAGATCATATCCATAACAATTTCTGTAAAGATCCTGGCCACACACAACCCCCAGCACCTCTGGGTGCAGCCCTGGAGTTCCCTTACTGTTGGGCCCGAGTATGGGACTGCCCCCTGCCTCCTTACTACTGGCCAAGTAGTGCCAGGTGTGGCCCCTGGGGCCCACCTACCCACCCCAATTTCTATTTCATTTTCTGTTTAAAATGCAGGTTTTATGAGGATCTCTTAGAGTTTTCAGTTATCTGGAATATTTTTCTTCTATCTTCTGTTTTGCTGCCATATGGGCAAGAGTGGATATAATCTGCGATTCTCCGTGGTTCACTCACTGCCTTCAGAGTGTGTGATCTGAGTGTCAGGTCAGACTGGCTGTTAGGGAAACGTGTGCTGTGCCCCAGCTGAACAGACTTATGTGCAGGAGGATAATGAGGAATTGGATTCCTGTGTGAGTAGGAATTCAGTGCAATAAGTGCGAAGTCTCACCCAAACTTGGCCCTTGCCTCTTTCTAAACTAGGAAAAAGCTGCAGTGAGCACCCTGATCAGATGTGTAGAAGGCTACTATGCGCGCTTTCACCCTCTGTCTCGGCTGAAAGCACAGGTAGGTCCCACAGGTCTTGTGCCCTAAGCACGGGACAGTGTCTGGCCTGGAAGGTACCCCCCTCATACCGGCACCCAGGGGCCCTGTTGGTGGGCAGAGTGGCAGCAGCAGAAGAATAAGCTCTGGGTGGCTACCAGAGAGGGCTCTGCGGGGGTGTGTGGGATGATGAGCTGGGAAGTGTCTTGCAGAGGGAGGTACGTGTCACCATCTCAGAAGTGTCTGAGACAGCTGTGGGCAGGTCTGCTTCTCAGGTGTGTGGGTCTTCTGGTCTGCCACAGGAGTGTGTACGCTCAGGCACGTGGGCCCTCAGGTACATGACTTTGCTGAATCGTCCCCCCAGCCTTCAGGCCCCATGCCCTGTAAGAGTAATAGCTGCCGTGTGTGGCTGTTGCTGGCCCCTTCACTCTCCAGCTTACTTTTGGAACCTGTTGGTCCCACACTGAGTGGACTGTCACTTTTACTTCCCACTAAGGACATTTGACAAATTCTCATGAATGGTGAGGACGAGTAACAGTTTTCTTGTGGGTGGTGAGGCCAGGTGAGTCTCCCTGTGGCGATGAGGGCAGGTGAATCTCCTCATGGGTGGTGAGCACCTGTGAGTCTCCTCATCCATGGTGAGGCCAGGTGAGTCTCCTCGCGGTGGAGAACACAGGCCTCCTTCCTGGAACTGCAGCAGGCTGAATGGAGTGTGAGCTGCCCACTAGAACTGATGGTGGGTTTCATTTGAGCAAGCACTTGCTTCGTTCTGTGCGGTTCCGCTAAAGGAGCCCTTGCCAAGAGTCTGTGGGAGCATGCAGTGGGCCCTTCCCAACGGCTGCTTTTATAGACTCCCAGCTGGAAGCAGTGAGCCGCAGGCAGTGCCACAGCCTTGGTGCCAGGGGTCTCTTTTGGACCCCTGGTGTGGGGGCTTTCTGCAGCTGGCCTGCCTGAATGCTGCCTCTGAGCAGACGGTGCTGTCCCAGTGCTCAGCCTGAATGCACGGGAAACTCCCTCCAGTGCTCTGTTAGTGGTGCTTCCTTTTTCAGGGAGACAGTCAGGGATGAGGAGTGCCTATGCCAAGGACAGGACGGCATGTTGAGGAAAGCCTGTGGTTTTGCCTATGGCCCTGAGCTGCAGTTCCAGCCTCCCACGGCCTCCTGCTGCAGTGTGGCTGTGCTTCATGTCCCAGTGGTACCCCTCAGGCCCTCCAGCCCTCTCTCCCCACAGAGAGCAGTGCCTGCTTCTCCCTCCTGGCCCGCCTCTCATGCGGCCCTCTGCTCTTCTGTCACTCCCCGCCTTAGTGGTGTCACTGCCTCTTTTACTCACTGGCGCTCCAGACGGTTGAGATGTTCTGATATCCAGAGGAGGCAGAGTGGGCACCTGCCATGTGCCTCCAGAGTGAGTGGGGCTTCCTCTGGCCACTCCCTAGGTGACGCCAGTCCCAGCCATTCAGTGGGGACATGGCCCGTCTCAGTCCTGACTGGGCCCCCGGCACTGACCTCAGTGGGGCCCTTGCTCTGTGACAGTCTCACAGGCGCCTTTATCTGAAGCTGCAGCTGTGATCTCCTGCAGGTGCTGAGCTGCGAGGAGAGCCTCCGAATGTGGCCTCTGCTGCCGTGGCCCTTAGACACCGAACAGGAGGCTGCCAGGTGCGCTCCTTCCCGGGGAGCAGGCCCAGGCCAGCCTTCACAGACCTGGCTTGTCAGTCCATTGAAGAGGCCTTGCCACGGGGGCCTGGGGGGACTGGGGACAGCGGGGGCCTGAGACACTGGGGACTGTGGGCTTGCCGTGGTAGCTGTGTGCAGGGCAGTGCTGTGCTTGGAGGGAGTGGGCAGCCACGATGAGTCTTAGGTCCGCCCGGGGCAGCCAGCTCAGCTGGGAGGAGCCGAGTCTCCTTTGTCTACCTCCTGCCCTGTGTCCTGCCGGCCTCAGGGGCAGGAAGCTACTTGCTGCCGTGCCCGCACTGACCCAGCTCTCTGTGCACTCATGGATTTCCAGGTCTGAGCTGGGTTCTGAAGTACAAGCCTGCCACTCTCTCATCCCGAGCGTCGTGGGCGAGTTCTGTCGCCACCTGCCCGGAGCTCTCACTGCTCCTGGCGTGCTGGACAAGGCTTCCCCCGAGACGTGAGTGCAGCACTGAGGGCGGAGCTGTGGCAGCTGCAGCGGTCAGATACTTGTCAACCTTGGTGCCCGCATGGGGGGGTAGTCCCCTCGGGGCCCCAGGCGGGCGGGCAGGGGAAGGGTCAGCCTGTCACTTCCTTCTCTGCAGCTGGGCTGCCTGGATCCGGGAGCTGTGTGACATCCCCGTGCCCACTCTCTTCTGCGCCCGGGTGGAGCTGGAGGTGCTGGGGCTGCTCCGAAGCGTCGTGGCCTGCTGTGCCCGCCTGTCAGCTCAGGTGGCCGCCTCAGCCCAGCTACGGCAGCACATGTGGGCACAGAGGCAGCTGCGCTCCCGGCAGCGGCAGAACTACCTGCGCATGTGGTGGAGGTGGGTGTGGGTTACTGAGGGCCGAGGGCGCGTGGGGGCTGCGTGTGGGGACCTCGTGTGTGGGCTGCAACCCCCAAGCCAGGGTGGGCTGTGAGTACTGGGTGGCTGTGTGTGCCCTTGGTGTCACGAATGCCTGGCGTGTGACCGTTCTGTGACTCCAAGTGGGGTGGTGCCCTCTCTGCTGCCCTGCCCTGGTACCAGTGACATCAGCCCAAGCACTGCCAGGTTCAGTCCAGGGCCCCCGAAGTATTCCTGGGGGGACCCACACAAAGTATCCTATGACAGCTATTGAGTGGAGGCAAGAGCATGGCCCCTCCCGTGGAAAAGAGAATGTATTCTAATTAGGCAGTGGCAGGAACTCCTTCCTTAAGAGCCTGCATTCTGGCAGGTTTGAGAACTTTGCAGAGTTTTCGGTATCCAGTCTCCTAAATAGTCCCATATTCCCCCACGTTGCCACTGCGCTTAGCGAGGCCAAAATGGTCCGGGGCAGCCAGAGAGAGGGGAGGGGAGGGGAGGGGAGGGGAGGGGGAGGGGAGGGGAGGGGAGGGGAGGGGAGGGGAGGGGAGATTGTCCTGGTGTGCAGGGGAGCATGGGATGCAGGTGGTACTTGGTGCCCCTGCATGTGGGATCACGCCTGTACCCAGCTAAGCTGTGCTCTGGGGGTTGTTGGTTGGAGGTGTGAAAGGGCTGCTTGCTAAGCACCTGCCCTGTGCGTGCCCCCCCCACCCCCTACCCCTGACCCTGTCTGCTTTCAGCATGCGGCTGCTGGCTCCTGTGCTCCGCCTCATTCTCCTGCTGGTTGCTCTGGAAATGGTCAGCATCCACGCAGCTCCTGGGAAGGCCCCTGCCGAGTATCAGAGGTATCTGAAGTGAGTATCACCCCGCAGATGGAGGCTGTGCTGTGTCTCGTGCTCTAGACTGTGGTTTTCTCTCTCCATGACTTGGCTTCAGTACCCGAGATCAGCGTCATTCAGAGGGCTGCCTTCACTGTGCCTATCTCCTGCTCCAGGGTGATGCCAGCCTCGAGCCTGGAGTAGAGACAGCTGTGGTGTCTGGTGTGCCTGGCTAGAGCCCTGGGCACCCTGCTGGCAGCGCGGACACTTGGGCAAGGCCATGCCTGGACACAAGGCCCCATACAGTCGCTGTTGGGACCAGGTGGAAGCAGGTGCCCCTTACTGTGGAGGCTAGAACTGGGGTGTCCAGGAGGTCACAGTGGCCTAGGCCCCACACCTGGTGTGTGCACATGGGATGTCCCGGTGACCGCAGTGACCAGGCCACACCTGGTGCTTTCACATCTCTGCCAGACACCCCAAGCAGTTTCAACCAGTGTTTATAGGCCTAGTGGCACTTGATTAGGAGACATGGAACTGCCCTGAGTCAATACCGGCCAGTGCAAGGTGGCACCAGTGCCCTCTGTCACACACTCTAAACTACCCACCCGATCCGGGCTCTCACCATCCTCCTCACATCTGTGACCCTCCAGCCACTTTACGTGTGCCGTTGTGAGACACCCCATGCAGCACTTGGCCACAGTGCACTTAGGGTGCTGCTCGTACACATCTTCAGGGCCTTCTCCGAGCTGTGTCTCACATACGGAGTGCCCCTGAGAGCCGTGGAGTCCCCTTCTCCCAGCTTGTCCTGTATCAGTGGGGGCTGCAGGCCTAGCCCTGGCTCTCTGGGAGGTGACAGTGGGCACCGTCCCCGTCAGGGGTGGAATGTGTATCACTGGGCCCCTACAGTCGCCAGGAGACTTTCAGGAATCATATGCATTACTTAGAATCAGTGACCTGGTGGGAGGGAGTGTAATGGGGCACTTGGGCAAGCGGGCATCAATCTCCGTATTTTCCTTCTAGATCTGTGCTGTTTCCGTCATGTCTCATCCTTAACTTGGTCCCTCAGACAGCAAGTGTAGCTCCATAGTCTTCCCCTCGCACAGCTGCTGTGTGGCAGCCGGGTGGCTCTGCTGGTGGCTGAGGAAGTGTGGCAGCCAGAGTGGCACTACCCTTGGTTGAGGAAGCATGGCAGCCAGGTCGCTCTGTAACTGAGGAAGCATGGTAGCCAGGTGGCTCTGCCTGTGACTGAGGAAGCATGGCAGCCTGGTGGCTCTGCCCATGGCTGAGGAATCTCATCTCCCCACAGGTTCCTCAGGGCCCTGTTGCAGCTGACCGAGAACCTGGTGTCTTACACTAGCCCTGAGAAGAACAGGTGGGATGAGGCTACAGGCCTTGCCTCCAGAGCTGTGTGCAGAGTATGGACTGTTGCTGAGAGGCGGCAGCTGCTGATGCACTCAGCCCAGGAGCCCGCTGACCCCGCCGTCTGATGGAAATGCTCCCTGTGATGCCATCGGCACAGGCTTGTGGGCACCTCCAGCTCCGTCGGGCTCCCGTCAGTGGCACGTTCCTCTCTCCTTACATTGCCCTGAGTGCTGCATGCCTTATTCCCCTGGGAGCCAGCAGCTGTGGTCTGGGGACTATTCTTCCTGTAGCACTCAGAGGACTCAGCCCATTGCTCTCAGAAGAGATGCTTTCAGTGACCATGGGACGACCAAACACAGTGACCTGTGCTGTCTCTGGCCTGGGAATCAGCATCTCTAGGCAGTGCAGCAGGTGCTGTCCTCATGTGGCCCAACGAGCACAGGCCCCACAGGGATCTGGGCAGCACTTAGAGTGCAGCTGGGGGAGGGGGTTCGGTAGAACCACCAGCTCGTGCTCGGTACTGCACGCCTGGGCCTTGACCAGACATCAGGTCCCAGCAGTAGGACCAAGACCCTGTGCTGTGTGTGTTGACCCCAGGTCAAGGTCGAGCCTTCTCTCCTTCAGACCTGGGCTTGTGGAGATACAGTAGATCTTGGGGTCAAAGGTCAGAGTTGAGGACCAGGGTTAAAGGTCAAGCATATAGACCAGGGCGTTCTGTGTGGCAGCACATTGTCCAGCTCAGTGTCCACTCAGCTCCAGTCACCTCCCTGCCCTTCTTTTTAAAAAGACTTTTATTTAAAGAACCGGGATTGACAAAGTTGTTTATTGGTAGTTGGATCTTAGGCCTACAGTGTCCCCCCCTCCCCCCCCCCCCCAGCGTCCTCCTGCTCTTGCCCACTCCTGCCTGCCACCTTAACAGGCACATTTCAAGATCCCATGGTTGTAGTTGAGAGCTCACATTTTCAGTGTTGTTGGGTCTGTGCTGTGGCTGTAGTGCTACACTGTTCTCACGTCCCTGTATACCCGAGGCCCTGATCCTTGCGTTCCTCATCTTCCCTGGATTTCTTTCCTTCTCTTCCTTCTCCCCTTCTCCTTCCTGAACTCGAATTTTGGACACTATTTTAAATACGATAGACTCTTGGGTTGCTCTCTCTTCTGACTCATTCTTTGTATATAAGAATGTGACCCATCAATTTTTCTGTATTGAGTTTTTATGGGTATTTTAGGGCTGTCTATGAATATTATCATGTCATCTGCAAATAGTGATAAGTTTACTTCTTTTCTAATTTGGATCCTTTTGATTTGGTTTCCTTGCCTGACTGCTATAGCCAGGATTTCTAATACTATCACTTCACTTGATCATTTGACATCCCGTTATTCATCAATTTGCTCAAGCGGGCGCCAGTAACGTCTCCATTCGTCCCTGTCACGTGCTAGTGTAGCCCAATGGCGTCTGCTCGTTCTAGGAACACAAAGAGCCTCAAATTGATCGTTCAGGGTCTTGACAAAGAAGTCTGACCATCTCATAGGTGGGCGGCCATGCGATCTTTTGATGTCCCGTGGAATCCAGTCAGTAACGGCTCTAGTCCAGCAGTCGTCTCCAAATCTCATTACGTGTTCAGCCCATCTGATTTTCGATGCCTTGGCAAAGGAGACAGCGTCCCTGATTCTTGACCATTGACAGAGGTCGGAACTCTGGATTCCTTTCTTACTTAAGCTCCCACATGGCCACCATCCAGAGACACACAAACGAATCTCGGACCTGAGCAACTTGCTGCAGCAATTTCTTCAGACCCTAAAATCTTAGAATTCCTAGAACGCATGACTGCAAAAGTGGCCACACGACATTATATACATAACAAAACACATTGTCTAGCATTGCATTTTCGGCCGTATGAGGGGTGGTAGTACTGGTCTTGAAATATCAAAGGTAACTAAAGTAGAGAAAGTATTTTGCACATTGTCTGCCACACAGGCAGGGGGAGTGGTAGGGGGAATACTGGGGATTTTGGTGGTGGAAAATGTGCACTGGTGAAGGGATAGGTGTTTGATGGTCGTATGATCGAAGTTCAAAGATGAAATTTTTGTTATGGTACCTCACAGTGAATTAAAAAAAAAAAGAATCATGCTAGCTGGCATTAGAAAATCAAAACAAACCCGCAGACCAATGGAATAGGATCTAATATCCTGACACATATCCTCAAATATACAATCATCTAATCTTTGATAAGGGAGCAAGAAATATATGAAGTAGAGCAAAGAAAGCCTTTTTAGCAAGTGGTGCTGGCAAAACTGAATAACTACATGCAAAAAATGAACTCAGACCTTTAACGCCATTCACGAAAGTCAGATCAAAATGGATTAAAGACCTCAATATCAGACCCAAATCCATAAGGTACATGGAAGAAAATGTAGGCAAAACCCTCCTTGATATTGGAACTAAAGGCATCTTCAAAGATGAAATGCCACTGACCAAGCAAGCAGAAGCAAAGATAAACAAATGGAACTGCATTAAACTAATCTTCTGTGCCTGAAAAGAAACTGACCAAGATATAAGATATGGCCTAAAGAATGGGAAAAGTTGCTCACTTTCCTTAACCCCTCTGATAAGGGATTAATTTTAAGGATATACAAGGTACTGTTTGAACTTGACAAGAAAAAAAAAGCCTCCTTCCATAACTTCATGCTTCTCAGTCCAGCCCTGCTCCCAGCTTGCTTCTGCTGGTCACATCTGGATTGTTTCCAGTAATTGGAGTGATTCAAACGTGCAGTATCCCTGCTCCTCAAAGACGAAACTTTCCTGGGAAGAGTGGGATAGAGCCAGGGTCTTACACATGCGAGGCATGTACCTGCCGCATGCTTACCCCTGGGTCCCAGAGATACTAGTATACTTGGTGTCACCCTCTCCCAAGTCACATAGTCACTGTGCAGGGCTGTCACATGCCACAGAATACGTGGTGTGCACACACACCATCCTGCCCACCAGGACACACAATCACACACGACCCTGCTCCCTCACCCAGGACGCATGATCACATGTATGACCCTGTCCCCTCCACTACCCAGGACACGTGGCACATGCAATGCACATGCTTTCTGCCCCCCACTCAGTGGACTGTTGCTAAGGCTGCAGCCCTGGATCCAGAAGGTTTTCCGCTGGGGCTCTGCTGCCATCCTGAGGCTCACTTGTTATCAAGAAGGTCCGTGGCTCTGACAGTTCTTCCCTTCATCTCTCCTCCACCTGCAGTTTCTCTTACTGCCCTCCAAGGGCAGCTTTTCTTCCTGGCTCCTGCAACACTCTCCAGCCTGCCTCTGTGGCTGAGAGCAGCAGAGGGGCAGCTTTTCTGCTGGAGGCATGTCTCTGTTCACAGCGCAGCAGCATCTGCCCCTCAGAGAGCACCCAGGCTGTGCTGCTCGGTTCAGAGAACCCATAAAACCAGCTCGTCCTCTGCACGTCCCTTTCTGATCAGGCCCTCCCTGCTGGTGGACAAGGGAGGAAGGTGCTGCTCTGATCAGCTCCTGAGCTGCAGGCCAGTGCAATGCTGGCCTACTGGGGATTGCCCTGAGGTTGATGCTTCTGACAGTTCTATGAAGGCAGGAGGGCTGGCCCCTGCTCTCTCTGCAAGGTGAGGGAATCAAGTGATTCTTGGGAGCGAGTGTGAGATGCAGAGATGAGAGTGAGGTGGAATTGAGTCTGAGACACAGATTCGAGTAAGAGACACCGATTCTACTCTGGCACTCAGAATGGAGTGTGAGATTTGAATTTGAGTGGGAGATGTGGAATTGCATGTGAGATGCAGTTGAGTGTGAGATATGAACTCTAATGTGAGATGTGGAATCAGGTGAGAGTGCTGAGCATGAGATGTGGAGAGTGTGAGACACGGGTTAAATGGGAGACACGGAATTGAATGTGAAACATGGGGTCGAGTGTGAGACACAGAATCCTGTGAGATGCGCAGTTGAATGTGAGCCACAGGAGACAAGTGGGACACAGAGTCTAGCCTGCGTCACGGCTGGGAAAAGACGGGCAGATCCAGGCTAACAGGCTGCTTGGGACACGGTCAGCAGAGAGGGAAGGGGACATGCCTGTGGTGAGGATGGGGATGCAGCTCCAGAGACCTTCTGGGCAACCCAGCCCCTGGACAGAGGCCAGCATGGGCGCTTTAGTCACTGCTGCACTGAGAAGTGGTAATGGGGACCTTGGACTCCAAGTGGATGCTCAGCCTCTGTGCATGGGGTCTCTGGGATCATGCCCCACTGAGCACTGAAACTCAGTACCTCTTCCTCCCTCAGACACATCTGCTTTCCCTCCCACGGACACAGCACCCTTCCCTTCTGCAGACCCAGCACCCTTCCCTTCCGCAGATACAGCAGGCTGCCCTGGGATAAGCGTAGGGAGCAGTGTCCCAGGAGCCGTAGTGGCTGCACTGGGAGAGAGGCAGAGCCTGGAGCCACTGGCCCTGAAGTGTGGATGTGTCTGTGACTGGGCCTGGCCTGACAGAGCTGGGCTATTGGACACATGTCTGGAAAGGGGGAAAGTGTTCTCCGTTTATGGGGAGTAACTCCTGGGGTCACTGTCACTGGGGATCACCTCCTTTCTGTGCCATCCCCACATTTCCAGTCCTGCTCTTGAGTCCTCTATCGCTCTGCTCAGCTCCTGAGCCACAGGCAGGGATGGGTCAGGGTGGTCTCTGCTCTAGCTGGTCCACTCTGCACCCTGTCAGCCTCTGCCTTTCCTGTCCCCTCAGACACAGCACCCCTCCTTTCCTCGGACAGCATCTTTCCCTCCCTCAGACACAGCACCCTCCCTCTCTCCCTCAGACACAGCTCCCCTCCCTCCCTCAGACAGCACCCCTCTCTCCTACAGACGCAGTACCTCTCCCTCCCTCAGACACATCTGCTTTCCCTCCTCCCACGGACACAGCACCCTTCCCTTCTGCAGACCCAGCACCCTTCCTTTCCGCAGATACAGCACCTCTCCCTCCCTCAGACACAGAACCCCTCCCTCCCTCCCTGCAAACACAGCACTCTTCCCTCCTCATAGAAACAGCACCCTTCCCCCCTCCCCTCCCTGCAGCCAGCAACCACACACAGCATCCCTCACCCTCCCTCCTATGGTGCAGCTGTCGGAGAAGCAAGTTGGGAACAGGCCCACAGGGTGATGCTTCACTGAGCCCTCTTTTTCCTCATGCCCGGGGTCCTTAGAAAGTGTTCTGCTTTCAAGGATACTTAAGTTGCTTCTTGCAAAGATTTCAACACTTTTAAATTTAGTCCTAGACACCTTTTCACTAATCGATAGGATGATTTTTTCCCATGGTCTCTTCTTAAGCAATTGGTTTTTTAATACTGGCTTGTACTCTGATAACAAACTATCTCTATATTGTGATATTACTGATATTGTATGGGCGGCTGACACGTGTGTCACCGTGTTGGGAAAACATTTGCTTGATTCTGTGTAGAGTTTGAATGTTAAGTCTTGCACACGTGATTTAGATCCTGCATCTGTGTTTATGCTGCAGAGATCACACTGGCTTTACACACGAGGTTCTTATTTCCACCCTTGAGCTAAAGCCCAGCCCCTACTCCCATTCTTTATTCTGGGATCTGCTAAGAGATAAAGCAGCTTTTCAACCAGATTTTAGAATGTTTTGAACTTGGCATGTAATTATGTTTCATCTCACTCTCCAGCATGTCTTTCAGTGCCTAGTTTTTGTTTGAAGACATATTCTTAGCTTCTCCCTAGACTTCAGCATTTTGAGTCCCTTCAACAAAATGGCATGGCAGAAAGCCTGAGCTGGATAGCCAGGCCAGCAATCAGAAGACAGCGTCTTCTCTCGGGGTTGAAAGGAACTTTCGATTCCAGCCAGAGGCCAGCGCCCAACATGTTTCTCCCTGAGCAGTGGTTGGAGGTAGTGGCAGATCTGGACTGTGGCTGGAGGGAATAGATAAGATTTAGTCAGGGGCCGGAGAGACAGCACGGGGTTAGGCCTGGTATATGGCTGATCTCAGCACGATCCCCCGCACCACCTGGTCCCCAAGCACTTCTGGATTCACTCCGGGAGACCTTGGTCACCCCAGCTGCACACTCTTGCGCCCTGCTCTGGGCCACTGACAACTGCCAGGACTGCCGCTGGTCACCCAGACACTGCTTACAGGCCCCCAGCATTAGTCAGCTTGGTGCCTGCAACCCTTTCCAAGTAAAACCAGAAATAAGGAGGCGAGCAGGGACTTGAGGGCTGGCGGCTTCTCCGTTCTGGGACCTGCTTGCCGCAGAGCCTCACAGGGAGGCTGAGACTGCCGAGGCGCATGGGGCAGCCCAGCCCAGGCCCTGAGTGCCAAGCACCGCCCTCGGGCCTGAGGTCTGTCCTGGCAGATGGGCCAGTGACCGGCTCCTGGGCTGCAACGTGCCCAGCCCTGGCGG